AAAACAAATTTCCACCGCTTGGCCTGTGCGTTACTTGTAAACTCAAAAAGTAGAACTACTTAACTGAAAAATTTCCACCGCTTGGCCTGTGCGTTACTTGTAAACTCACAAAGTAGAAATGCTTAACTGAAAACAAATTTCCACCACTTGGCCGGTGCGTTACTTGTAAACTCAAAAAGTATCACTCGACCTGACTCTCTCTTGCCTATCCCTCAACTCTGATATACACTCTCAGTAAAATCCCTAGGAGCAAGATTGAAATGACCCCCAGGAGCAGAAGCCCACGCCACAGCACCAACTGTCTCCCGGTCATCCTAGCGTCTTGGCTCATTTGCAGATCCAATGGAGTCTCGTCTCTTTGTACAACAGCTCTCCTTAACATTCTTCGCTGGTTCCTTGGGACCACCGCTGAAGGGAAAAAAGGAACTTAGTGAGCAGAGTAAAAGGATATTTTTTTTATCAGTATAAAAGATGTCCTATGTGTATGTTACTAGCTGGAGGAAAGTTTATTGAGGAAGCAGTTGCTGCCTTGGATACGCAAAAGAATACTATCTCAGAGTGCCTCTCCATTCACCGATCACAAACTCCAGAGCCTGCTATTGTGAGCTTAGGTCTACCAGGGAGCTCTGCCTCACCACAAGAACTAGAGGAATAAATACAGTGACCCTCTAGTTAAGATTCATAGGGCAAGTTTTCAAGGGGCCAACACTCCTCTAATTAACAGTTCAGAAGGAGAACAAGGCCAACGGAGGAGAAAAATCACCTAAGAGATCATTCAAGGCCATTCACAGAACTGAAGAGAGATGTGAATCTTCACATCAGGGGGCCTACTAAGCATCCAGCAAGGGTGTGACTCAGATGTAGATTCAGTCTTCCAATGCTTCAGAGTAGTCAGAATTCAGGAAAATATCCTAAAAGCTTCCCGAGAGAAACGCAAAGGCAGTTGACAGAAAGAACCAAGAATAAGATGGGCATCCGACTTCTTAAACAAGCATAGTGGATACTGGGATGTGCTGATGGCCCTTGGGAGTTGTGAGAGAAAAGCATTTCGAATAGAGTAATTCCAGCTCACTGTCACAAAATGCTTCCTCCATGCCAGGCACTGTTCTCAGCGCTTTACACGTATGAAGCTCACGTAACTCTCACGACAGTGGTATGATGTAACTAGTATTATTACCCTTTTACAAATGGGAGATGATAGGAAACTTGGGACCAACCATCCGCTGAAGACAATTATGAAAGCTGGATAAAACGAATGAAAAATACCATCTTGAAGGTATCAGAGTACTACCGAAGTAACAAAAAGTCACCAGGGCAAGATCTACGGGAAGCTGGAAACCCAGCAAAGCCAGCCAGCTTTGGGGGCCACTTTTGACCTGAGAGTTCTCCATCTGGACCTGAGCAATGCTTTTGGGGGGAGTTTAGTCCTCACCAAGGTAAACCCCTCTGGACTCTAGGCCGGATCTCAGGGGCTGTATCCAAGAATTCAGGAGGAACCAGAAGTAAACCAAGCCTCACCCTGGTTGCCTTCAAGTCAGCTGGGGGCTCCAGGAAGCTGTTTCTGAAATTGCCCTAGACTGCTGGTAACCCTAAGTGTTCAACAGAAGCAAAGGAAAATCCTCCCTGAAGACAGACAGACATCACAGGCCTCAAATTACTTCCACCGGCAATTTTCAAATACAAGATCTGGAACACAATCAAAGATAACCAGGCACACAGGGGACCAGACAACATGAACGAAAACTGGCAGGAACAATGGAATTGGCAGCGGGCTGTAATTCAGCCAGTCTGTGAAAACTCGGTTATAAAGAAGCGAGGAACTAGTGTGAGTACATGACTAACTGCCGAAGGATCTGGAAGTCTGGGGAGATTACAGATTTGACAGAGAGAAAGTGATATACACACTTGCGTGATGGTCACCAGAAGCAACAGTTAAAACAACGATCTGTTTAAGGCCCATCTTTGCCTGGTGAATGGGGGAACCCTATAGACACAGACATACTAATGTCAGTTTCCAAGATAAGGTCAACGCACAGGATCACCGAGTATTAGAGATCCCTTTGGAATGCTTACGTGAGTACCGTTAGGTCAGCCAAGGAACTGGCAACCTGCAGTGTACCTAAAATTGAGTGTTGCGTGACTTTATCATTTGTCCCTGAAACTTTATTTCCCGGGTTCGGGGGGCGCTCATGGCAGGAAATCTAGTGGTGTCCCACAAATGGCCCCTCCTGGACCACCTGGACAGGCTTGTTTCCAAGAGGTGAGAGTTTATTCCATACCTATGTTCTGATAGACTGCAGGCTGGGCCACAGACTGGGTCCTAGTCCGGACCACATTTAGTCTCACATTGGCATGTACCCGAGCCTGGAAAATGAAACTCAAAGTCAATCCACAAAGCATTATTTACCACCGTTATAAATAAAACATTTGGCTTGACTACTACCCAGTTTAGGAAAAACCAAGCCATTCTCTGTAACTGACATGTAAGGGGACCTTCTCTGGTTCCCAAGTATGGAATCGTCTTTCAGGATGATTGACGTAAGGTCAATGGTGGGGGGGGAAGGGATCGATGGAAAAGCACTAGGGGGAAGGCTGGGCCCAAGGTCAGAGGATTCTCCCCTTTTTCCTTCATTTTTGTTTTGTCTACCATCTATTTTCAGACCCCACACTGACCCTAGCAAGCTGGAGACACTCATGTGTGCAGGTATCTTAATGAAATATTTTGGGATCATAAAAAACAGTATCAGGATAAATTGGCTGGCATCCCTCCTTTCTTTCCAGTTTCAAATCTTGTCCTCAAACTGATTTTTCAGGCACATAGGTGGTAGCCTGGCTTGGGATACGAGGAGGAAAGGAACCCCTATTTTTCTGTTTGATAAATAAACAAAAGGGAAATGGATAACTGCAGGGGTATCTGGCCCTTAGCATGTGAAATAAAGGCAGTTGAAACAACAACAAAGCATTGGTGATAAAAGGGGAAAGAACCTTACAAATGAGAGGGAGAGAGCCTGAACAGATTGTTTTCTAGGAGAGGAACTTTTATGGGCCAGCAATGAACATAGTTACCTCTTCACAGGCTTTCTTCCAGTTTAGCTGAGAAATAAAGATGAAAAAGCACAGACACTGCGTGATCGCACAGATAATGATCCCTGACCACAGACCTAGAAGTGGAAATATTTAATAGAGGTTAATTCCATGGAAAACAGGGCACCCCTGGGGAGTATGTGCCTCCTGTCTCACTTTGAGAATCTGCTTTCACGGCTGCAGTGGAGCCCACAGTGATCCAGACATCCCCTTCCTGCTCTCCTTTGGTTTCCAGAAGGTTCTGAGAGGCCCAGGGCTCCCTGTGGACACTGCCCAGTGCTCTGGGTCTCAGAACTGATGTTTAGACGCTCTTTTTGGCCTTTGTGATCCTAATACTTTGCTAGTAAGAGACATTCAGGTTATAAGGAAATGAAATTCCCAAGACAGACTACTTCCTGTCTCTAAGAGTGCTATGCTTCTGAACAGCTATGGCCTATTTTCCTCAAAAGGGACTAACGTTTTCAAAATGCACAAGTCACCGGGGCGCCTGGGTGGCGCAGTCGGTTAAGCGTCCGACTTCAGCCAGGTCACGATCTCACGGTCCGTGAGTTCGAGCCCCGCGTCAGGCTCTGGGCTGATGGCTCAGAGCCTGGAGCCTGTTTCCGATTCTGTGTCTCCTCTCTCTCTGCCCCTCCCCTGTTCATGCTCTGTCTCTCTCTGTCCCAAAAATAAATAAACGTT